AGAGATTTTATTTTTCATCAGGATATTGGAAGAATAGGAGGGATTGAGGTCAATCACTGGCACTTTTTTATTTATTTTAAATGGTACACTTTATGTTGAACTATTTATTACGTTGTTGGTGCAACTGGCACTTTATGTTGAACTGTTTATTGTTTTGGCCAAGGTTATTGAGAGAGTTGGACGGAAATTGATTAGATTTTTTAAATCAACTGTTGGTAAATCAACAAAGTCTGTTATGGCCTCTGAAGCAACAGAGAGATGTTTTCTAATAGTCAGGGTTTCCAATGTTCTGAATGTACTTGAAAGTATTGTGTTTTACTTAAAAAACAAAGTGTTATAGTTTACAGAAGGTCTACCTACCTATAGGCTACCTGAATCTCTGAAATGTACTATATTCCTAAATATGCTATTGCTACACTTTATGGCAAAAATTGCACTTTTCTGTTGGTCTTGGTTAAGTACCTCCTTGAAAAAAATAAACAATGTTTTGTTGCTTAAGCTTATGTATTCAGTCATTATTCAATGGTATACTAAAATCCATGTGAAAAAAATTGCTTCTCACTGTTCTCAGGTCAAATATCTATGTGCGATTAAAAATGCGATTAATTGCGATTAATTAATTACAAAGCCTGTAATTAATTAGATAAATTTTTTTAATCGAGTCCCGGCCCTAATATTTACATTTCAGGTAATTCACTACTTACAAATGTGAAAGGACCCAACAGTGTTATGATGTACACCAGTCCAGCTGCAACTCTGATCATTTTTTCATTAATATTTTCTACATCTACACATAAACTGAGCATAAGGTTTATCAAATCACACATGCAGTGGGCAGACCGTGGCTCAGAGTCTCGTACAATTGTACACCGGAAACATTTCTTTTGCAGTTGGACTCAACAGGCATACCAAGATTCTGATCCGGAGAAGAAGTGGACAAGACTTTGGAATGACGTAAAAGCAAATAGTTTGTTGATAAATGAAAATGAAAAACATCCGCCCCATGGCAGTTTGAAACTGTCTCAGAGAAAGATCAGAGCCATGCAGTTAGTAAGACATGTTTCCTTCAAAAGTGCCTCACATCTGGGATGAGATGTGGCTGCCTGCCACAGAGATGCTCATTTTAGCATTAGGGTCTACAACCCAAATCTAGATTTTAAGGTTCTGTTTTTCATGACGATGTCGTCTCTTCACTCGCACAGAATGGGTATCAATAAAAACAATGAATTCCAAAATCGACGCATCCCTACTCGTGTTGTCCAGTTGATGCAGCAAAGATATTTTGACCTTTTCTTATTAAAAAGGGTCCTAATAGTAGAATATGTTAAAATGTGCAGATACCCTGTTGTTGTTATAAGTCGTTGCAAAGAAAATTGATCACTGATAAATTAGGATTGTAGCTAGTGATAAGGGGAAGCTCAAGACTTAGGCAGATGGAAAAGAAAAACAGTCCATACCATGATTTTTTAGGAAAATGCTGAATATTGCATCTTTGATGTCAACAGATACAGTATCATGAAGACCAGAACCAACGGATCATGTACTTTACTTTTTGAGCGGGGTCCAAAGCTTTATATACTCTATCTTATTCCTTAGTTAGAGCTCCACTTTTGACGAGAAACAATAGCCAGTTCAGCAGGCTTACAAACAAGTAAGCCTGCTGAACTGGGTGACGATCTCCTTCAGTACCATGAACATGCACGCTGTCGTTTACTGTACAGGCTGCTGGTGGTTGTTGTTTGTTGGATCTGCTGGTGAGCAGCTCGGTTGTGCTTCTTGTTTACACACAGTGGAACTCTCGTCCTCTACTGCGACACAGCGATGTTTCTTTAAGGACTCAGAGCGTGTAAACAGCCTCTTACACTGTGAACACCAGTACGGTTTCTCTCCGGTGTGCACACGCAGGTGCCGGCTGTAACTATATGAAATGTTAAAACATTTCCCACATTGGTCGCAGCTGTATGGCTGTTCTCCGGAGTGAATACGAAGGTGACGCATGTAGTTACTTAGTCGACCAAAACCTTTCCCACATTCTTTACACTGAAACGGTTTCTCTCCAGTGTGGGTATGCACATGTTGTTTGTAAGTCTTTGAGATAGAGAAGCTTTTCTCACAAAGTTCACAGCGGAAAGGCTTTTCTCCGGTGTGGATACGCTGATGTGATTTGTAATTACCTAACTGAGAGAAACTCCTCCCACATTGGTTACAGCAGTAAGGTTTCTCTCCTGAGTGGACACGCAGGTGTATCTTGTAACTACTTAAGTCACTGAAAGTCTTTTCACATTGATCACAGTCATATGGTTTCTCGCCAGTATGGTTACGCAAATGCAGATTCAAATGCCCTGACTGAGTGAAACTTTTTACACAAAAGTCACACTGATACGGCTTCTCTCCACTGTGGCTGAGCTTGTGCCGCTTGTATGAACTTAAAAAACTAAAACTCTTTGGACACTGGTCACAGCAGTAAGGCTTTTCTTTAGTGTGTACACGCATATGTATCTTGTAAATACTAAAGTAACTGAAAGTCTTTTGGCATTGGTCACACTGGTATGGTCCGGTGTGGTCCCGCAGGTGTTTCCTGTAGGAACTCTGGTTGCTGAAGTGCCTCCCACACTGGTCGCAGCTGGAGGATGTTTCCTCAGCGTGGATGTGCAGGTGTAGCTTGAAGGTCTTTAGTTGGCTGAAAGTGCTGCCACAGTGTTCACACTGGTACGGTTCCTCTGCAGGGTGGGTGAGTTCATGTCTTCTGAGACTGCAGATCCGACTGAAAGATTTCCCACACTTCTGACACTGATGACTTCTGCTCTTGTCAGTTTCTGCCTGATTCAAGTGAAAAAAGAGAGGAAGAGAAATTAAGGTCTGAGTGGCTGACTTGATAAAAGGACATAAATTTCCCCAATTTACTTGGAGTGATTACAATTGAAACACAAAGTAGAGCACTGCTTTCACTTCCATGCTGTGCTAAAACCCTGATAATATAAAAATAAGCGCTGCAACATCATAAACATGTAAATAATATACATTTTGATTAATAATATATATTCAACCTAAATTTAGCATTTCAAAGGTTTACCTTGAGAGCAACATTAAGAGGCTAGATAAGACGATACACAGTCTTGTGTTCTTACGTCTTGTCTTGTGTTGTGACGACCCCTGCCAGATTTGCTATGTTTTGATGCAGCTTTTCTTTTGTTTGAGTATCTAATCGGGCGATTTAGTCATTTGTTTATTTGTGGTTGGTGTTGATTTAAACAGCTAAGCCGCTTTAAAGTTTGTTGCGGGTGCAAGCAGTGCGGCCGGCTCTTTTGTTTCTGCTCATTACGCCGCTTGTGGTAAGGACACTATATTTTATATCGTTGTTTGGGTTGATTAAATTACTTTGCAAGGTTTTGGTTTGTTTTGCATTACATTTGAGGAGAGAGTTTGCCGGTTGTTCTTAGCTGTTTGTTTGTTGGTGCGTTGTGTGTGGAGCGGTGCAGAGTTTTCCCTTGTAGGTTTTAGCGGCGTTCCCCTTGGGATCGTTGAGCTGGGTGTTTAGTGTTGCAGCGAAAGTGGGTGAAGCTTCGGCTTGGGAGCATGGCCGTGGTTTCAGCAGGGTTGCTAGCCTGCTAGTCGCTTTGCTGTGCCAGCGGTCTCCAGTGCGTAAATACCCACCACAAGTAACCGCATGAAGACTAGGGGGGAGATTAGTCAGTGGAAGGGTGAGTCATTAGCGGGGAAACTCCAACAAAATTGTGTATTATTCCACTTTGTCCGCATAATAAAGGCTGTGGCGTCTCTCCGGTCCTTTTTCAGTTTAAAGGTCGGGTGCTGTGCTCCTGTGAGTTGTCATCTTAAAATAACATGGCTGAGATAGAGGCATTCATTGAAGCTCCATCTCAGGAGTCTCTTGGCACTTTCACAAAAGATCAGTTGCTCTTGATTGCTGAGCATTTTTCTGTGTCTATTTTGGGTGACAAAAGAGTGAAAGAAAACATAAAAGACTCTATAATATTGAGATTGATTGAGATGAGAGTTTTTCCTGCAGAGAAAGGGGAGGTTTTTTCAAAGCCTCCTTTTCAGTCTAGTGCACTTTCTTTTGAGCAGCAGAAAGAAATGTTAACGTTGCAGCTGGATCATGACAGAATTATGTATGAGAAAAAAAAATGAAAGTGATCCCGACACGTTTTTCATATTATTTGAACGTGTAGCCAAGGCTAGAGATTGGCCCGATGCACACTGCGCTCTGATGCTTCAGTGTGTTCTCACAGGAAGAGCACATATTCCTCTTTAAGTCTGGAGGATAGTTCGAGCTATAGGTAGAATACAATCTGCTGTGCTTAGAGCATATGAACTGGTGCCAGAGGCCTATCGTCAGCGTTTTAGGTCCTTTGAGCAAAAACAAGGTCAAACCTATGTGGAGAAGATGGCGAGGGATTTGTCTATTCATTTTAAGCATTGGTTAACTGCTCTTGACGTCACTTCTTTCGATGATTTGTGTGAACTAATTATAGAACAGTTCAAAAATGTTCTTACAGATCGCATTGCCAAATACATAACAGAACAAAAGGTCACTTCTGCTGCTAAGGCTGCTTTGGCAGCCGATGAGTTTGTGTTGCTCCATAAGAGCAATTTCAGAGAGCGCTCTGTATTTCCAAGTGGCGAGAGAGGTAATGGTTCTGCTGCTGTTTCATCTTAGACGCGTTCAAAGCCAGCAGGTTTTTTTAACTCAGTTTGGAAATGTAAATGACTGTAACTATTTTAATGAGGAAGGACATCGGAAGGCAGACTGTCTTGTTCTAAGAGCTAGAAACAGGAGAGTGATAAGTGGTGTTAGGCCTGCTGCATTCACTGACCCTGTAAAAGGCTGTTTTGGTTCTGAGGTGCCTAAATCTCACTTCTGTAGCCCCGATGTTTTGGCATCTTTTCTTTCATTGGTCAATAGTGATGTGAAAGTCCCAATTAAAATCTTGAGGGACACCGGATCCTACGATGCATGTGTTGTGGCCGAATCAGATTCTGAGTTGTCTCTGGACGATGTCTCTGCTGTGGTCATGGGAATCCCATCTATGTCGGGGCCTTCCCTGTCTCTGTCTCGGAGTGGGGTTTTCCAGGATCAACGTTGTGACTATTCTTCGCACAGGGGTTTTGAACATGTTTTGCCTGTTGAACCTCAGAACCTGAAGTCTTCGACTTTTCGGAAGAAGAGGAATACAAAGACAACAACAAGGATCCATTTGGACATGGGTAAGTGTAAATATGTGTGGGGAGTACAGCGAAAATGAACAATAGGTTTATTGATATATTTTTTATCGATAGTCATGAACTTTTTCTTTGGGCAAAATAGACTCTCCATTAGCAAACGTTTACTCTGTGTTATTGTGTTTTATGTGTAAACGTTATTTTGGTGTGTAAATGTGAGATCACATGTGTAGATGATTACAAATATCATGTATTCGTCCCACACCGGAGACATTTACTCTCAAGGGTCTTCACCAGAGCCTTACAAGGTCCAGATACACCTCAGCACAAAGGCTCTACCACAGCCATGACCATCCACCCAGCCAGCAAGGAGGTCTCGTGGAGGTCTCGTATAGCACTTGTACCCCCCACTTTGTATGCGAAAAACCTCTTCTGAAGTAAGTAGTAATCAGCAGCGAACCGCTTCAACACGCGTATTTCGGTGTATTCACGGCATTCATTTTGTTATTCTACAGCAGGGGTCGGCAACCTTTTTGATATGAAGTGCCATTTTAAAAAAAAAAATGTTATCAGCGTGCCGACGATCGAGAATTATCAACGGGGGGGGGGGTGGGAGGAGCTTGACGCTCTCGTGAACTATCAGTGTCGGAGGGGCGGGGGGTTAGCCGCTAGTGTGTGGACCTGTCAACGAAACTTACCACAGTTTACACATTTAGAATAATGTGGTTATAAACGGTTATATATAATAAAGGACAATCGTCGCTTGTGATTCTCCAGAACACACATGTTATGATATTTTTTAGTAGGTGTCTAGTAGCTGAGTTGAATGAGATATCGGCTGTTCTCCTTTTAAGAGAGAGAGAGAGAAAGTGGGCGGGGTGTGGTCTTTGTGCATGTTGTGTGGTGTGTGGATGGGTCTAGAGCGACAGTTAGTGAGGGAACTGTTGTGTGTATGTGTTCTGGATAGTGAAAACGAGGCGCAGCAGAAATAACAGATCGGCCTGGTGATGTATTATTGTTGAAACAGCACAGATAGCTATACACTATATATACATTATGCAACGCGGTTTTTCACTCCCAAAGAGAGAGCTCTCGCCTCTCTGTACCAGTTCATTTAAGCTAAAGTGGGTTATTGAACTCTGATGCTGTGAAGCTTGTTGCTGCTCCCCCCTCGATAACGGTCTGGGAAGCCGACAGGAAAGTTCAACCAACACAGATGGCCAGTCCGCCCCTTTTGCAGCATATTATTTCCTCGCTGAGCAGATCGCCAGTTTTTTCCACTGGGTCTTTCACTAAAGACAAGACCACGCACCGCAAAAACTGCGGCATTTTGTACATGGCTCCTTCTATGGGTATTTGGCTACTGACTGCAGTTTGGAAGTGCTTTCTCTGTGGTTGAAACGATCAGCACTGGCACGCCACGGAGGGAAAGAGCGGACAGAAAGTCACGTTGGGGTTAAAGGAGAAGTAAGGTGTCTGCGTTGCGTGCAATGGTTCCTTCTGGGCAGGTGACCGCGCTCTGGCAGCGTCTCGTTCAGGATCCGACAATCAGCCAATTAAATATTATTGGCAGGCACGTTATCCACTTATTCCCTAGTGTGCACACTGGTTACCAATGGGGCTGGCAGGCGGCGTGCCAAGGGGTTGCGCGACCCGCTTGTGTTCTCAGTATTGTTGTTTTATAGTTAGTTTGTTATGTATCCAATTTTGGTGTTCTTTGAAATTGAACAAGGATATCGCATTGTGTTTGTTACTTCGTTGCAGTTGTATATCTCGTTTCCAACAGCGTGTACGTTTCTTGGCTTGGCTCAATATTTAATGGACATGGCTTTTATTTGAGAGAGGTCACGCGCTGTCTTGACCAGCGCACAGTTGTCTGTTGCTTTGGAAACAACGTGACGGAGATTAACGAGAAAATGTAATGATCTACGCATATACAAAAGGATGCTGCGAGAAAATAAACCAATACACCCGCATGCGTCTCCGCTCACCCTGAACGTTTACTGTTACAGGTTGTTCACGCCACGCCCCCTGAAGAGGCACAAAGCTGCTTACGTTGTGTTTTTCGACCATTGAAGTCCATCGAGCGTATCGGGTCTGTGAATAAAACCAACTTATGTTTAGCTTTTAGGCTGTCTGAGGTATGGAGCAAGCTATCAACAGCTACTATACCATCAATTAGAGAGCGATGCTAGAAATCAAGGTCGGACAGCAAAATATCACTAATTTAAATGATTTATTCGCGAGCGTTGGCAATGTTTTTGGTGAAAAGGCATCGCAAACAGTCACCTACTTTGGTAAATCGTTCAATACCTCCCTGTAAGGCGTCACAAATATCCACCACTCGGGCCCTTTTCACACCACAACCTCAATGATACGGCGTTACTGAACTGTGCATCAAAGTGATCTTAGGAATCGAGCGCCAGATATAGCAAACAAGATGAACGTAAAGCGACCAAAATGAGGCCG